GTCCGGCCGGCCGCGGGGTTCGCTCTTGGCCTCCGGGGCTGTCGGTTGTGTTCGGGTCAGGGCTGAGGGCTGTGGTGAGCGGGGATCTCCCAGTTGGGTGGCTCTGAGAGGTGCTCGGTCTCTGGAAAAGCTCTAGTTGATCTCAGGGTGGCTGTAAAGACAGAATTTCAGCTAAAAAAAGAGATGAAATTTGAGCGGGTTCCCCTGCTCCTCTCCTGGCTTTGATGGCACTTCTTGCCGGCGCAGCTGTGTGGGAGCAGCACACAGCACAGCCTCCCGGCTGCTGGAGCAGGTGTCTTTCCCAGGTGGAATTCTCATCAGGTTACTAAACACCTTGAAAGCCAAAAACAAGAGCAGAAAAGTTCAAACGCAGTGTTTTGCCCCAGTGGGATGCGTGTAAGGTCTGGGGAGAGGAGAGACCTGATGGCAGCTTGTGGAAGGAGAACACGGAAGCGGTGACTGATGTAGTTGGAAAGGTTTTTGGTGCAAAAATTGGCAAAATCTTAACTAATTCTCCAGGGAGAGAGTTTTTGTTATAGCGTGTCTCATTTGTGTCTTGTGTTGGTGCTTTTCAGCGTGGTCTCATTTCTTTTACAGAGTAATAAGAGTCTAGACACTGTAATTCAATAATCAGTTAATGACACTAGTGCACAGAAATAATCCACGGCTGACTTGGGTTAAGGAGAGAGTCACTGGTGCCCGTGTTGCTGCACCTTTCACCTTAGAACAACTGAATGTTTGGCAGCAAGTGTAAAGAGATTTCCTGTTTGACAGTAACAGTGTTCATGTATCCAAAATGGGTAATAAAAATTTCATAAGTATATATTTATTTAGTGTCGACAGTGATGTCTGAGCGGTTGTTACAGGCTCTTCAATAAAATAAGTCTGAGAAGCAGATGTTAAACTATCAGGCAAGGGTTGTGGCAGCAACTCTGTTAGATTGTTTTAGTTGTTGGGTGTCCTGCTGCTGTGACCCCCTAAAAAGACCACAGTCATATAATGAAGCCGGTTGAATTCTGACAGACCCTTTTGGTTCATTGTTTTATTTTTCTGTTATTTGTATGCGGCTGGTTTTAAATCTTTTTAAATATAAAGCTGGCTCATCAGTTTTTGAGCGTACGGGAAGAATGAGGGTGGTGTTTCTGCAACTGACAGCTTTCCCTTCAGATGAGAAAAGAAGTATTTTTCTAAAGTCCCAAGTTTTAAAAGTTGGAACTCTCTTGGATTAAGTCATTAGTTTTCAGAATGTATCTCTGAAAAGTTAATTACTCTTTCCTAATAAACTGGGATAATTATGTGTAACTTGTTTTGTATAGGAAAAAATTAGTATTGATCTCTTTCTGTGCTTTATTATTGAAAAGCAGAAAACAAGTCTTAGTTTGATGGTAGTTTAATGGTTGTCAGGGAAGTCTGCTGACACGTCAGGCAGGGTCCAGGCGCACGCACGGTGTGTGTGAGCGCTGCCACGTGCTGGGGCTGCCTGTGCCTGGGCTGGAGGTCAGGGAAGAGCCGCTGGAGTTCATCCCCCTTCAGCTCCCTTTGCAGGAAGCTTGGGAAGATTTTCTCCCAACACATGGGGTGCCCACATCACAGAGGTTTCTTGTTATGCCTGGGATGAATTTTACTCACGAAACACTTATAAAATTAGACTAGTGAATTTAATTTGTTGCACGTGTATTTGATGTTATCACCACACAGAGTGTTACGTGTCGTACAGCTTAGAAGCAAAATGACTGTGTTTGAGATTTCACTGTATTGCAACACTTTTATTGTCAGCTCACAGCAGCAGAAGTGATGTACCAGGGCTGTGGGGGCTGGAGTGATGCTTTTGAAGTTCCATACTTAAGGCAGTTCGGTGAAGGTGGTGGTGTGGGACACGTTTGCTCCTGTGGATTTGTTTCTCACAGCTTCTCTAAACCAGAGCGAGGACTTTTCTCTTCTGTGCCCAGTGGTTTGAAAGGATTTCTGGTGTATCCTCAATTATTACACGAAATTCCCACAAACGTAAGAGGACCGTGTTCAGTTCAGGGGAAATGTGCCATTTAATATAGAAATTAGTCTAGTTACTACAGGAATTAAAGCATGGTGAGCTGAAGTGTTCTGGGTGCTTTTGGTTTTACAGCAAGAACTACAGGTCTCAGAAGCAATTATTTTAGGTCGTCATGCTTTGGGGGGAAAAAAAAAGATGCTTCCCTGGAATAAAAAACTGAACAGCTCAACCAACATAGCTAAGAAAAAAATCATGAAAGAATCCCCTGTGTTTCAGGAAGTTGTAGCACTCAGCTTCCTTCTAGAAAGAACCTGGTGCAATTCTGGCTTTGCCTTTGGTTGGTTTTTTTAGCAGGTTTCAGTGAGCCCCATGACAGTGATTAAACATGTGACCTGAACAGCTTGGAGTCCAAATTCCAACTTTAAGTAGAATGTGCACTTCCCATAGAGAATCTAGTGCTAGAGGCTTTCAAGGATAAAAAGCAGCCATTTCTTGATGTATTTAGAATTTTTTGTAGTGTTTTAAGATGGAATTGTATGACTCAAAACTGAAATCCAATCAGTGTAGAATAAGTTCGTTTATTTTAATTTTTGTTAGACATTTTGTAAGGTAACAAAACAGCAGGTTCAGAGAGGTCTTGAGAAACATTTCCCTCGCAAAGAAACTCGGCCGTAACTGGTTTCTAATGAAGGTTGGTTTGTTGCTTTGAAGTGTGAAGGCCCAGAAACGTTTTTGAGAGAGAGTTTTACTGTGAGTCACGAGCGCTGCTCTGGTTCTGGAGAAGATCCTGCTGTTGGCAGCTCTGCGCTGCTGCTGCTGCTGAATTGTATCGCTGCCTGTCAGCGTTTCAGGGTTTGCCCTTCACCTATGACTCCTTAGTCTCTTCCTTCTTTGCGCTGCTGTTGCGTTACCTCCTCAGCTTCCTCACCCTTTGTGTGGGGAACTCTGCTACAAAAGGAGTTCTGAGCGCCAGCCACTCCTGCCGGCGCGGCTCTGGGAAGCGATTCTTACCTGCTTTGGTTTGCAGCTGGGCAGTGGAGGTCACTGGGCTGCTCCAGACACTGGTGTGTGAGTTCCTGGTGCTCTGGGAATTCGCACCGCATGCTTTTGGGCTGATGACAGATCAACTGAAGCAGCTCCTCAGTGGCAAGTCGTACCTGATGTGGGATTTCAGATAGTAATTTTATTTTTTTTCTTTTTGTTTTTCTCCTCTGTGAATGTTTTCAGGCGGGAGCTACTTCCATGTGGGCTTCCTGCTGTGGATTGCTGAATGAAGTCATGGGTACCGGAGCTGTCCGTGGCCAGCAGGCTGGCTTTGGGGGAGGTGCTGGCCCCTTCAGATTCGCACCAAATACCAACTTCTCAGCGTACCCGTCCCCAGCTGCGGCGAGCACTAACATAGTTTGCAAAGCCTGTGGACTTTCCTTTTCAGTTTTTAGGAAAAAAGTGAGTATGTTTCCCATTACATAATATTTTTACTCTTATGAACTGATCTGTAGGCATACTGGGAGATGAGTGTGTGTTTTTCCTTGGATAAGGAAACCCAAGGCAGATTGCCAGGGAGAGAGTAAGTGCCTTACTCAGAGGTCACAGGAAATTAATGTCAGACAGGATTAGAAGTTAAGAGGTCTGATGTTCACTAATCTGTGACACATTAGATCTGGTCTGACCTAAAAATGAGTGGGTTCTAATTTGTAAGATAGATGTTTCAGCTTCAGAATCTTGAATGTTAAAACAAATCCAGTTTTGAAGAGGACACCAAACATGGTGGTTGTGTACTGGAGTGAACCAGCCAGATGATGGAAAAGCTGAAAACTCACAAGATGGCATCAGAGTGAAATTTCTGTGAAATACTTGTGTAATTCTGCTCGTTTCTTACCCAGCTTTAGTTCTGTTAAATGCTATTCCACTCCACCAGCCTCTTGCTTCATTTGGAGGCAGGTTGGTGGGTTAATGCAGATAAATAAAATGGAGACTGTTAATATTGTTTCTGTGTATCGTGACTGTCCAGCATCATTATCTTGGCCACTCAGTGACCTAATTCTCTGCAGCTTGTTTGGATAAACATGAAGCCTCTTTCCTCAGCTTGTGTGTTCAGTTTTCCCCTCCTCATGTGTCCTGTTGTTTGCGTGGCAAATGCTTTGTTGAAGTAAAAGTTGTGTAGGGACGTTCTCTGAAGTTAATTCACTAAAATCCTGAAGAACTTGAAGAGTTTGGATTTGTTCACAGCGGGTGAGCTGAGCATGGAAAATCGCTGCTGGAAGTCCTGCCTGTTCTCGCTTTTGTGTGTTGTAGTGAATCTTCTGAACAAAGCTCTCTTCAGAAATGACATCTGGGTGCTTGGGAGTATTTACCCACCACGTGATTCGTCATCACATTTAGTGCTACTTTGAATTCTTTGAATCAATGGAGGGAACAATATGTTCTTTAAAGTTTGGGGATTGTATTGGTTTTTACGTGTGAAAAGAGCAGTGGCACTTAGTATATCGAAAAGTATTTTAACATACCATAAAATTGCCTGGCTTTCAGTTTTGTTTATTGTGTGAACTACAACGTGTTCGTTTGTTTATTCATTTGTTTATTCATGATGTTTGTTCTCTGACACCTCAGATCAGCTGGCAGTAGCGCTACAAAGCCGTGGAGTGTGTGGAAAACTGACAGGGTGGTTTTCTAGACTTAAATCCTAGAAATTACCTATGAAAATGGACAACTGAGTAAATTGTGTGGTGTGGAGAAGGCAAGAGCAGGGTCTAGATCTGTTCTCTGTGACACAGAGCTGAACGGGTATTTGTGTTCTTCCTCCTTAGCACGTGTGCTGCGACTGCAAGAAGGACTTTTGCTCGGTTTGCTCAGTCTTACAGGAGAACCTCAGAAGATGTTCCACTTGTCACCTGCTGCAAGAAACAGCCTTTCAGCGACCTCAGCTAATGAGATTGAAAGTAAAGGATCTGCGGCAGTATCTGATACTCAGAAACATACCAACAGATACTTGCAGAGAGAAAGAAGATTTGGTGGATCTCGTGCTGTGCCACCATGGGCTGGGCTCGGGGGAGGATGTGGACGCTGGCAGTTTGCATTCGTCACGGTCACAGACTTCGGGGTTTTTTACTCATCCGTTTTCTATGTCTGTATCGGTGTCGCCGTCTCAAGGAGAACTTGCAAACAGAAGGGGAAGCACAGGAAATGGAACAGCTTTACGGGTACAATAATTAACCTGTGGTTTATGGGATAGTACAGCTTTATTTATTTATTTATTTATTTTTAAATAGGTACGCAGTGCTTTAAAATAAAATGTCAATTGGTGCAGTTTGGGGTGGCAGGAAAAATGCCCTGTGCATCTCTGACCTGAAAAGGGAAGATTACTAGATAGGATTGCTAGTTTAGATCATACAGGTGACTTAAATCGAGGATGATTAGCAGCAATTGAAACTTCAGAATGTCATTGTCATCTGTGATCAGTTCGGTACAAAGGAAACTGTTTGAGAAGGGATAATTATTTTTTTAAATCCTGATTAATTTAATTTTGTACACAGGGACAAACTGAAACATCTCCTGTAAATAATGAAGAAGAGGAAAGTGCAGAAGAGCAGGTGAGATATGAACTAACCAAAGAATGAATTTTTGGCATGTGACACCCTGAAGTGTTTGATCTCTGTCAACATTCACTGTCACGCTGTGGCCCTTTGGGTGTGGGCTGTGTCTGGCGGTGTCTGTCTGCACGTACTTGCTTTAAAAAGAGTCAAACTTAAGTCAAGTTGCTGCAGCTCAGTGTGGCACCAGAGCCGGGGCTCTGAACTTACCGGGCCAGTTAAAAACATAGAGTTGATGTGTTTCAGACCCCTGGATTGTCCAGAAAACGAGCGAGGGCATCTTTGTCCGATATCTCAAGTCTGGAAGACATTGAAGGGTTGAGTGTTCGGCAGCTGAAGGAAATACTGGCCTGTAATTTTGTCAACTACTCAGGATGCTGTGAAAAATGGGAACTTGTGGAGAAAGTGAGCAGACTGTACAGAGAGAGTGAAGAAAACCACAAGACACGTAGGTTTATATTTAATTCTCAATTTCTTAAGACTGCTTGTTTTCTGGTTTCCAGCAGCTGGTTCTGCCAACAGAAGGATTTGGTATCTGACTCGCTCTGCTCAGCTGGAACAACTGGAAAGTGGGGTTTAACTATCCAGGCTGCATCCAGAGTAGTTGAACGGGGTTCTAGTGAGTAAATGGAGCTTTCCAGGAGTTGCTGTTTTTTGGGACTTTTCTCTGAAGCCCAGAGAGCTCAGCTTTCACTGTGGAGGTAAAATTGCACAACTGAGAACTGGCTCCTCAGAGAACATGAAACTTGGCACCTCCACATCCTCGATGAGGTTTCACGAGGCATTAGCGAGAGCTGCTCGGCAGCTGTCAACAGGCCAAAGCAATTCAGGTCTTTTACTGCGGTGCAGAATTAAAAGCTACGGTGGCAAAAGTCCAAGTTCAGGTGGTTTGGTCTCAGTCCATGTTTTCGTGATAAGGTGGTGGCTGTGGCTGCAGCTCAGTGACTGCAGTTCTGCCCTCGGTCACACTCCACAGTTGGATCTTTCCCTTGTGTGATCGTAGGAACGTCCCAGTTCCTGGGCACAAAGTAAAATCTGAGGAACCACGTTTTGATGTCATTGCAGGTTGGAGAATACCTGCCTGGCTCATCCTTCCTGGGTCCTGCAGTCACACTGTGGAGAACAGGGGACTGTGCTGACTGGAAAACTTGGTGACCCTGGGCCACCGCACAGCGGGGTTGTGCCAGCAGATACAGGGCAGGGACTGTGATAATCAGCCGTGAAACAATCAGCTAATTGGGGGGAGGAGGATGGTGACTGTTAGTGAATGTCAAAACATGGCTTAAGTGAGACCCCACCCCCCCTTTGGTCAGCAGCTGGAATTGAAAGCCCGACTGATGCCAAGCTTCAGACTTGACGGTTATTTTTGTTTTCAGCACAGTCTGACAGCGCATCGGGTTCTCGATGGGGCCGTTGTCCATTTGCAGTGAAACTTAGCAGGTTTTGTTCAGTTCTGCCAGCTTTATGGCCTACTCGAGGCTTCACTTCTGAGTCTGCTTTATTATTATTGTGTTTAATCTTCTGAGCTAAGTGTTCTGCCAAACAAGGTAAGCTGAGATGGAAAACCAACACGCTCTGAATTTGAATCCCACATGTTATTTCACAGTCGTCATGTTCTGAATTGAAAATAGTCTCTGTGTTTAAAGAATGAAGCCAAATCCTGGCTGCTCACTGAGGGGCTTTCTCATTCTTGTTTCTTTGGGTTTTTTTTGAAGGAATATAGATCAATTCTTAGCTGTGAGTTAGAAAAACTGTTGTGAGCAGGGAGCAGCACTACCTGGTGCTGAGCTACCTGTCTCTTAGAGGTGCTGGGGCTGGAACTGAACTGGTTTTCCAGGGCTGGAAGGTGTGACCTCCCTCTCTGTTGGTTTGCAGAAGGGGAGAAGATGCAGCTGAACGACAACGACGATAACCTGTGTCGGATCTGCATGGATGCCACCATCGACTGCGTCCTGCTGGAGTGCGGCCACATGGTCACGTGCACCAAGTGCGGGAAGAGGATGAGCGAGTGCCCCATCTGCCGCCAGTACGTTGTACGGGCCGTGCACGTCTTCAAATCTTAAACCAGACCTAAAAAAGGGATTTCTATAGTCACCCTGCCAGGATGGCTGTGGGCAGGAGTGCCGAACCTTGGGGCAGGTGTCAGCTTTTTAGTTCTTGATAAACACGGCCTTGGGAACGTCGGGATGGAGGAGTCTGGGAAACGCTTTTCTACAGCAGCCAGAACCCCGGGGCTGGGCAGCGCGACGCCGCCTGCGCGTACAGACCCAGCGCTGCCCGACTGCCCTGAGCCACCCACAAACTGTTGAGTCCAACTGTTTACAGCAGTTCTTGCTCTCTTCTGAAGAACATCACCTGGGGACCGCGTTCAGTACTCAGCCAGTGGTCAGGAAACACCTCTGCTTGGCCGTAGTCGCGCGTTACCTTGTCTAGTGCATTAGAAGCGACGAATACATGGGTTGAATAATCAGCTTTTCTGTCACTATAGAATGTAACTGTCCCGCCGCTGGCCCCGCTCAGCGGTGACAGTCTGAAATACGAGGGCAGGCAGCACCGCCGGGACCTGCACCTGCGCAGACGCCCCTCACCCCGTCCTCTGCCCACTGCTTCGTGCCCAACGTCTGCGCACGCACCGTCTCCGCCGCTCTTTGTCCTGGTACCGAGAGCTCTGTCACCACACAGGGCTCAGGTTATTCACAGGGCTCTGCCACGTGCTCTCCAGGGACTGGTGACTGAGTGTTCTGAGTGTTTTTTTAGTTTAGGAATAAAATATTTTTTTATAAAGGGGTAGAGTTAAACCCTGCGCTCGTGGTCCTTAATCCACTCATGCCTATTGTAACTATTACTCTAACGTGATGATTGTACGCCGTGTGCCGACAGCCTGATGTTACTGTGAATACTAATCAGGGTGATGAACCTCCCTGCTGCTGACCTGTGGAATGTACAGTGTTACTAACCTCAAACGGGGAGGGGCTGATGAAGGAGAAGGGAAAGGCAAGATGGTATTTGCTTAAAAAAACCCCCTCGTGTTCACAGACCTCCAGCCAAGGCCCAGTCACTGTTACCCACCCTTCCTGTTGGCCACTGAGGCACCAGTGCTGCTCTCAGCCCTTGGCCCAGTTTCAAGCTGGATCTACGCCAGCAGGAGGGGAAAAGGGTCCTCTTGGAGCAAGAATGTGACCCTTGCAGGAGATCTGTGACCGATGCTGTGGGGAAGACAGCGGCAAGAACAGTTCCTGTGCTGGGCCAGGCTCCCTGGGCCAGGCCTGGCCCTGTCCAGTGTCATTCACTGTAAAAAAAACAGGGAGGTGAGGAAGGCCCCAGCCTCCTTCAGGCCTGGCTGAGCACTGAAGTGACAGGCTCCCTTTTCAATGTCCCACCTGCTACCAAAGGGACAGGGACCTGTCTCACCTCAGCTGTAGCACCCAAGGACACTCACCTCTGCTCCACTGCCTCACCTGCTCTTGCCTTTTCTGTGACAAGTTCCTCTGGCTCAAACAAGAGAAAGCAGCTCCTCCACAAAATTACAGATGCAGCTTAGAGACAGCGCTGGTGATTTTTCAGAAGGGAGCAAACCTCTCAATGGCTTTATTTTTTAGAAGTAACTTTTTAATGGTACTTAATTCCTGGAGTCTCTGTGCAGTGGGACTGCAGAAGAGAAACATACCCTCGATGTTATTTCCATGCTGATCATTAGCTACACAAGCTTAATAAAGATTGGTGATGGGCTTTCCTCAGCCTCTGTCTCTTTTCTTAGCCAGCTGTGGGAGTGCTGTTGGTTACTCAGCTTTAATGTTCATCTTGAGATGATCTTGAGATGGAAGAAGTTCCTAGAGTTCCTCTAGATGCATCAGGGCAGATTCCAGCTTGAGGAAGGTGTAGGTGTTTATTTTCTTCCCTCCTCAGTAAAACTGTATCAGAATAGGCCAACTTAGAGGCACAGCAAAGTCCTGTGCTGGGAAGTCCTGCTGGTGGCACAAGAGGAAGATGGGTCCTGCTGTTACTCCAGGCTTCCACCAGGACTAAGGATCCCTCTCACCTGCTCCACGCAGCCCCCGAGGGACCCCCACAGGCTTGTGCTCCACACCCCCAAACCCAAACCCAGCTTCCTCCCCCCCCAGAACCCTGCTGGGAACAGAAACCCCCAGAGCCAGCGCCTCTTTTTGTACAATTGTTTATACAAATTCAACAAAGGTAAAACTGCATCAGGAAGGTCTACGAAAACAACACCGTACAACAATGGCACTTATGAATGCAGAATTTTACAATCAGGAAATAACCATGTTAGAAACCTTAAATGAGAACTCAACTCACACTTCAAAGAAAGAGAGACGACGTTTGACCATTTATTCTACGGCTGGACTCACTGTATAAATTAATTTTATATTGAGTACAAGAGCTCATGCTACAGAGTGAAACCCTCCTATGTGCAAAAGCTGAAATTGGAATTTTTTTTTTTTTTTTAATTTTGAGAAAAAGGTGATTTCTATACAGATAAAACTTGGCAAAGTGTTTTACTTCAACTATAATTTACACCTTATTTCCACAACATGCTTATGTCACTTCTGAAGTATACAAAGCAGGATATAAACTTCCATTAAAACATGCTTGAAGTTGAAAGTATTAACCTACTTTTCCTGACCTGGGCACGTTTGTAGATAGATACTGTCTACGAAGTATAGGTTAAGTTCTCGCCTACCATAAGTAAAGATAAAAATTGGCAATCAAAACCGAAACACTGGTAATGCATTCAAACATTGCATAAATAATTTTTAAACAATTTTTGTACAAAAATAGTTCTGCATAATGTAAGATGTAACAAAACAAAACGTGTTAAGAAGGCAGAAATGCAGTGCGTGGTCCACGTTAATGACACCAACTCGTTGTTGTTTTAAGAAATGAAAAGCAGAAATCAAATTTACACTACCAAGCACATGCTGTGGTACTTTAAATAACAGTATTTCTTGGGAGATCAGTCGTCTTCCGGGTGTGAACAATTATCATCAGTAACAGTCGCCTTATGAATTTGCATAAGAGCCAGTGCAGGACATCCCAGGTAGACGGAATTAGTGGCACAAGTTGAAATTCCTAACGGGGGTAGTTTCACATTGTTCTCGACAAGTTGTAAAATCCAATCGCGGCATTTTTCCAATATTCCAAGTTCCCAATTGAAAATAAAATCCCTACGTGTTCTCAGTCCCTCCCC